CTGTCGAGCCTTTTTGGGTGGTCTCTGACCACGTGGGTTTTTTGGGGTCTGCTTTTTTATTTCCTTTGTCTTTGCTTTTCTTCCTGTCGAGCCTTTTTGGGTGGTTTCTTGACCACGTGGGTTTTTGGTTTTTTGTTGCGGGCGTTGGCGTTGGCGTTTTTGCATTTCCGCTCGTCCTGTACTTGCGCTCCTGGGGGCCTGGTTTGCGGTGATGATAACTGTCTTTACACAACCCCCCCAAAGTTGGCGATTCACTTCACTTGCTCGGTATGCCCTTCGGGGAAACTGACTCGTGTTGCGAACATGTACCTCATCAAGAACAGAAATCTGAGCAGACCTTAGAGTATTTCCTTTGTTTTTTATGTATTCTTCGCAAGTGCCTAGAGTAGCCGCAATGACGATAATCCCCTTTGCGTGAAGTCGTTCTCTTCCTTTGCGAAACCCTCTTCTGGAGGTGTTTCCTGGGAATATAGAGACACTCGTGATTCGCATGATATAGTTTTCAATCGGAGCAGGCTTGGCCTTCGTGGGGAGCCGTATGGGACGGAGGGAATGCTTTGAGATACGAATTTGCTGCCCGGTGATGATCAATTGACCAAAAAGCCAAATTTGCAGGCAACAGCGGCGGGCATCATCTAGGATGTTTGCAGGGCATTTACTTGTCCACTGCCGCGAGTTGTCAGTGAGAACCCAAGAGAGCTAATCTGAGGGAGCCACCACATCTTCGTATCTCAAGTCACATACATTTAGTAGTCGTAAACACTTCAATAGCTGTAGGAAAACAAATGCGCATTCTATATTTCACTTTTGGTCCCACTCTACAATACAACAGATCCACGAACTCTTAATCGTGCCGTTGTAGCAAAAAATACTCGTACATTGCTCCATCCTCTATTGCGTCTTCTTAGCGCCGGTAGCCGACTTGACAGGCTGGCTGTACATCCACACGATGCAGAACGACAGGAATCCAACAATAGTCGCTGAGATGCCTGTCAGACCGGGCCAAGCGCCGTTGATCACGTAACTCCGGGGGTACTCGTCGTGGGCCATGTGTCGAACGCTGACAGTTCGCTTCTCCTCGAGGTTGGTCAGGAAGGGTCGCTTGTAGTTGACCATGAAGTTAAAGATGCCGTGCTGGTCGGGAAGAACAAAGTCGGTACTGTAGACAGTCTCGTCTTCGCCGACATGAACGGGCTTCAGGGAGATGCGGTGGAAAGGAGACAGCATGGAGAACTCGAGCTGGAGGTGGTCGCCCTCAGGGAGATGGAAGGGTTGCCAGTCATTCCAGGCGTACTCGGAGACGGAGATGCTGTAGGTCTGTGAATTGTTAGCGAGGTCAATCATGTCAGGGGAGGTCTCTACATACAACATCGTTCTTGATGCGGTACAGCTCAGGGTTGGTCTCATTGTCACCCTTGAGGTGGTGCTCGATCTTGTTCACCCGCAAAACACCAAGCTCCTGGAAAGTCCAACCAGCCAAGTTGGTGATAAACTCCTTGTTGGCAGGGAAGATGGCCTTTCCACCCTGTCGAGTAACCTTGGTATCAAAAGCCTTGTCCTGCAGCATCTCAGCAGCACCAACGACAGTGACGCGCGCAGAGTTGCGAGCCTGGAAGACAGAGACAAGAGCAAGTTGCTTTCCGGCAGCGAACAACTCATCAGGCTCGACAGTATCGCCCTGCTCCTTGGGGTTGTAGCTATAAGCGGTAGGGGGCGCTCTAAGAACGGGTGTAAGAAGAGGTCCTGAACCAAGAGTGTGGCCAATGGCGTGGGGAACAGAGATGAATGCGCCGGGAATCTCGAAGTAGTCCTTCAGGCCGGGACGGACGTTGCGGGGAGCGTCGAGGACGAGGGTGTCGTGTGTCTCGGCGGCGGAGACGGCATCGTAGGTGAAGTGGTCGACGACCTTGCCGTTGCGCTCAGCAGGAATGGTAACGTCGAGCTGGTCGAGGACGGAGACGAGAGTGACGGGGACCTTGTGGGTAGCGGACATTGTCAGGAGGATGTTTCCGCCAGCGTTGATGAAGTCGACGATGGCATTTGGGGTCAGATTGGGTCCCAGACCTGCGCCAGTCAGTAAAGCTGTATCCTTGAGGAACAAGACATGACGAACCCTTGATCTTGGTGGGGAGAAAGACAAGATGATCATAAGTCCTCTCGCCATACTTGAACAACTTCAAATCATCGCTCTTTGGTGTCTCATACGTGATATCATAACCCCGTTCTATCAATTGTAAGCTTCATCATCTCCCCAATACCTCGCAGAGGGCTCATACCAGACAAGTCGCGGAAAAACGTAGTATACGCCTCCTTGTCCTTGGGCGTATCGAGAATAACCAATAATCGATTACCAGCTGTGCTCACGGCCGAAACCAGCGCCGCGAAGAGTAAGACCACGAGGCTCAAGAGTGACCGCATCGTGTGGTTCAGAGAGTTGCGTGGGTTTATAGTGTTTGGTGCAAGTTTGGACAGCTTGCGTGTAGGAAGCTCTCAGTGGAACCGTGGTAGCTTGCGTTGGCGTCTTAGGGATACGTAGCCTTCAGTGGGGGGGGAGGACGGGAATGGATGTGAAACTGCAGATGCGCTAGTCCTTTTTTGTGGCAGACGACTCTGAGAGCTAAAGGTTCTAGAGTGAGGTGAGGAAATAATCCGATGCCCGCGGCTTGGTTTTTCCGAGGATACGATTGGACCGTTGCTCGAGACCATCATCACCACCGAGATTGAATCGACAAACACCACATCGTCAATTGAGTATGGCCTCACTCCTGATACGATATTGTTATTGTTAGTTTCTGTGCTAATTGATTTAGGCCATCATGTCTGCCGCTCCTCTCTTCTGGCAAACTCCCCTCAAGTACTGCCGCTGGGCAGCCCGCGAGCGTCCCGCCCTCTTCTGGTCCGTCATCATCGGCGCAGCAGGCCCCGTCGCCATGCCAATTGTTCCTCCGATCCGACACTACTTTGGCGATATCGATGCTCCCCCCGTTCCCGTCACCTATCCCAGTGCGTTTCCCCTCCTCCTGGACCTCAATCCCCCAATGCGAGACTAACATACACAGTCCCCTCTGGTCCCAGGAAACAGCTCACCGGCTACGACGACTAAACATCTCGAATTGAACGACGAAGGAAATATCACGGCTCGGAATGAGCACATCTTTGTACAAACTACGGCGTTTCCCGATGCGAGAGGGAGAAGGGATATCATAGAGGAAGAATAGGGACGAGAAAACCCAGCAGCAATTGACGCTTCAATTCGATTTTTCTACAATCAATCCATCCATCGGCTGTCTACATTTCGATACCTATATATGTGTGAGGATGTGCGCGAGTCGTTGATTTTCTAAACATGCGTATAAACATGAAGCAGGAAACGCCGCAGCGATGTGCAAGAAGCCAAGAAAACAGAATACCCTCCTTCTCTTTAGTCATACGAGGCTATGTCGGTGGTCATATCGAACTGATGTCCGATTCGGTAGGGAAAGGCTCTATCTCTCCCTGCTTAGTAGATTCCATTCGTACTAGAACTGTTAGATTGAGGATTCATGAGGAAATGGGGAATACTCACAACTCGACCGTCATCATCTCCAGTGTAGACGCATGTTGGCATTGGACTTATGCACGTTATGCCTGCCTCTGTGTTGGCGCCCTTGTCGTTCTTATAATCAACATGGTCAAGCTTTCTGAGGAGCTCGAGCGTCCATCGGCTGCCCACGATACTGCGTCGCCAGACATTGACCCTGCCGCGCTTATGGCCTGTGAAGATCAAGTAGTTGTCAAGCCACTCGTTGCCAGCACCTTCGTAAAAGGCGCATGAGTGAATGTAGTCATCTTGCTCAAAACAGACATTCTGTTCCAGAAGGAGTGTGCCGTTGAGTGTGTACAGTATCACATTGGGTCCAGAGCAGAGAAGGATCTCGCCCGAAATGTCGTTGATACGTGCACATTCGACAGGCCGTACCAACGGCAGCTTTCGGATGAACGACAGTCTGTTCAGATCCCACAAGAATGCTTGTCCATCTGCAGAAACAGTCAAAAGCGTGCTGAACGCTTTGCTGACTGCAATCGTTGTAACAGGCGACTTGTGTCCAAAGAGACTAGACCTCGGAAGTAACTCAACCGGCTTCCCAGGTAAAGTCTGTAGAGCATACACCGAAACAACACAGTCCTCTCCAGCAGTGATCAAGGTTTTGGAGTCGGCAAAGCAAGCACACGAGATCTGGCCGATGTGAAGGTTCTCAAAGAGTCCAGCAGGCTTTGTTGAGTTAGCGACGTGGCCAGATCGAGGGACAAGGTTCTGCATTACCTTTCGGTTGTCGCTGAAGAAGAAGCGAATGCTGTTGTCTGCGTATCCCCATTCAAGGAATTTGTCGTATGGTGGGAAGTTGAGACGGAATGGAGAAGCGCACAGCAAGCGGTCGAGTTTGGAGGCGTGGATGAGTGAAGCTACACGTTCATGGCTTTCTGTTGTATCGGTTAGTGATGTCTGAGGTTTAAAGGGAGCAGAGTTCTTACCAAGGAGTGGATGCGGCAGACAGCCCAACGAAAACACACTGCTGTCTAGTCGCCTCACTGGGCTCTTGACGTGTTCTCGAGCAGGATGCGACTTCATAAACACTTGATGAGGCGTCTGTCCAAAGTTATGAATGACTCCCGCTAGAATGGCTCTCTCCTTTGCATCCGTGATGCTGTCCAGATCCGTCGCACCACGATAAGAAAGATGATGAAACACATTCAGGTTTTCCACAGCTGCTTCACCCCGTTGCTTGTAACCAAATACCAGATCAATCCACTGGTGTAGGTTCTCGCTCACATACGGACTCTCAAGCGCTTCCCTGTGCTTGGCGATAAAGATCCTCGGGTCACCCTTGGCCCACGGTGGAAGCTCAACGTGGTCGACCTTAACGCCGTTGCTCTCACGATTGCCAAAGTTGTAGCCGTTGACGTTGGTCAAGAATTCAGGGAGGCAGTAGAACTCGGGAATGAGTTCTCTCACATCAGCCTTGTTCTTGCAAGAGGCTGATTTCCAGGCTTCTGGGATTGACTGGAACAGGCGGTCGGCGTGATCGAAGCTTCCACCTTGCAGCAGGATGTATGATTGGACGAATGGTGGTAGACGGATCAGGTATGACGAGACAATCATGGCAGAAGAATAGTGAGTACCATAGTGGAAAGGAATCTCTCCGATTTCTGCCAAGGCGTTGTAACTCTCAACAAAGCCTCCCACTCTGTTCGGTGTCTGGGCACCCATTGGCTTTGACAGGTCTCGGAAGGTGTTGGGATCATCAAGATCCAAGTCTTCACTCGTATAATCAGCCAGAACCCACGGGAAGACCGGGTACTGGGTCAAATCATTGAACGTCCTTCCAGCCATAGTGTTGACCATCATAAGATAGTGAAAGTTGGAGATCTCGCCCTTCTGCCATTTCTTAAGGAGAGGGTTCCAAGGCGATGAGTTGAAGAACGTGCCAAACTTGGACCCGAATCCTTGAGGCGACTCATCAAAGACCTTGAGAGACTCCAGGCGCCAAGCATCTTCAGGGTTCGGAAGCGTGTTTGCGCCGCTTGTGTGAGGTGCCTTGTTGAGCATTTTCACAAACAGGTTATCTCGCACCACAGGGTTAATCGTAGTCAAGAGATAGCTTCGACCGTCAGTGAAAAACACCTCGATCGCAACATCTCGAAACAGGAACCGACGCTTCGAGATGCTGATAACATCTTGCCATCGCCAATGCCTCGATTCCTGCTCCTTGTTGTTCTGTCGCTTCTCAGAAGTCTTGGCGTCCGTGACGATCTGAGAGAAAGGATCACGCTCTTCGGGAGGAGCCTGCCAGACATTGACGATGTCGCCGTTGGCACACTGGAACACGTTGTCCATTATGTAAAGGGCATCCTTGCCTATTATAAGGATTCCCTCACATGCTTCCAGACCAATAATGCGCGAGATATTGTAGGCGGACTGGACTTGGTCTCCTCGCTCCAATCGTCGCATCACTTTGCGGTTTTTGTCCTCGAAACCTTCATCTCCTTCGTTAGGATCATTGGGGTCATCCACAAGCTCAAAGTCATCCTCCGGCGCAACACCAGAGCTGGGTTGCTCGGCTGGCTCAGTGGATTCTGGCTCCTCTGTGAACTGAGGCTGTTCAGCATTGCCATCCAGAGCCGATGCAGCGCTTGGCTTCGTTGGCGTCACAGCGGAAGCCTGGATCGAAGGAGCTGGACTGGCTGACGTATTGATGCGAAGAGTCTGCAATATCTCACTCGCCTTCCTCTTCGGTTGATACTCATCCTTACTGATCGTAAAATCAGGAAGAACCCTGAGCCTCATTCGATTGCGACCTTCTGTGCGATCAAGCTTCCACTTCGGTGTAGCGGCCTCGCTGAAGACCGCACCAGGCCTCATAAGATCCCGCTCCATCTTGGTGTAAGCCGCGCTTAGGAATACCAGGTCATCTTGTTGGTCCTGCATGAGTCGCTGATACTTGAAGTACTCAGAGTTGTAGATGCTCTTCATCCAAGCGCTATTACCAATATCATGACTGATGAGGATCTTCTCCGTGTTGATGCTCTCCGCATGCAATGATCTGAGCTTCTCTTTACGCTTGGTGAGACGAACTTTGGCTGTCTCTGAAGTTCGCACATTTTCTGAACTGACGAAATCCTCCCAAGTCTTAGACATGCCGCCAAAGAAGAGGACATCTAGCGATGGGCGGTGCTTATCAACCCAGTCAACGAATGACTCGTCGTCGACGCCTGTCAACTTCTGAAAGTCCTTCGAAAGCTGCTTTTGGTCTGGCGACATGCAGGAGCGGATCAGCGTAGCTGATTCCTCTGGCTTCTGCACCAAGATAATGCGTAAGAAGTTAGCTGCCGCAATACGAAGGGGCATCTTGTCGCCAATGAGTTTCGTGTAGAGCTGGTACCAGAAGAGTTTAAGGAACTCATCCTCAGTCGTAAAGCAACCAAGAATTGACATCTGCCAGTACACCATCTTGTCCATAAACTGCTTGGCCTCCACCAAAGTGGTCTCTTGGTTGTCAAGATCCGATAACCTTAGAAGAATGATCCTCAGTAGACAGCTTCGGATTGTGGCGACAGCTTGGCTGCAAAGTCGGACACTCTTGAGGTTCGAGATGTCTGGTCGCTGCAGAAATTCGAGAAGCATGCCCACAAAGTCAATCATAGCTTCAGCACCATTCATGAACCATCCCTCAAAGATGGCCTCTGACATGTGTGTGCAGAATCGAGACAGGTTGGTCAGTACACGAGGCTCACAGATTGCTTTCTGATTGAGCTGAACATTATTCGTCAATTGAGCAATCACATGCTTCAAGATGTAAGACTCAAAGTACGCTTGGTGTTCGCGGAAACCAGGAGGGACTTTAGTAAACAGGCCAAACCCTGGGAAATCTTTCCGTGCGAGAAGCTGATCCATAAAGACATTCACCACCAGCTCCAAGAGTCCATCCAAGATATCACTACTAGGTCTCTTGCTCGGTACTGATCTCAATGAAGGCAGCGCTGGGTTCAAGCGAGCTGGACTGGGTCCAACTGGTGATTTTGTTTGGGTGAGTAGGATAAACGAGGAGGCTCTTCGCAATGGTGTGCCCTTTGGTGGTGTTGACTGAGGCGACGGCACTGGATCCACGCTTGTTGTTCGCACTATAGGCGTGGCATTTGAAGCGCTACCACTAATCGGACGGATGATAACATCAGTCCCCTCAAACGTCAGCGCCGTATCGCCAGAGTTCAGCTCGGTTTCGGGTGTCACCGCATCGGCGCTAACGATGACTGGGTAGAGTGCTGAGAGCAACAGTCTCACCCACTCCGAATTCAGGGCAAAGTCCCTGAATTCCGTTGACCGTGCATGGAGATCCGAAAGGAAGCGAATAACGGTATGTAGAACACTGGCATAGCTTGCAACTCGCTCGCTATCTCGTGAGAAATTGGAGCGCGTTTCAAGGGCAGTGGCCAAGTTCATGGAGCTCGCTCTCGGGCGTAGCTCAGTAGACGATGCGTGCTTCTTAAGCGCGAAAGCTGGGTCAATATGAGTTGCCGGCGAGTCTGGATCATCCTGATGTCTCATCACATCCTTCAGACCATGCT